AGTTTCTGGGTTAGGTACTTTTGGTACCTCGTTGGTTCTATTGGGTACATTATTTTTTGTATGCAACTTTATGTATCAAGGAGTATAATAATAATATTTAAAAGATTTTATAATTTTCAGATAAAATTGCAGACAGAAATATTTTATGATATAAAATAGACTGACATATCTTCAAAATGGACCTCATTCTGAAATATTTAAAATTATACAATTTTTTGACTGGTACTAACAAAAATATTTTAGATAAATGTCTGCTGGATTTTTTGAAAGCAACTTCATGCAGCAAAGACATCAATCAATTACATTTGAAAAATTCTCATGAAATAGTGTATCAAAGTATCTTCATATGTTTCACCATCAAAATGCATCTCTTTCTGAAATATTTAAAATTATACAATTTTTTGACTGGTAGCAACAAAAATATTTTAGCCAAATGTTTGTTGGATTTTTTGAAAGCAACTTCATGCAGCAAAGACATCATCCAATTATATTTGAAAAATTCTCATGAAATAGTGTATCAAAGTATCTTCATATGTTTCACCCTTAAAATGCATCTCATTAATAAATTTTTAGTTAATTTTAGTAATCCAAAAAAATATTTCAAAAAGTTACCTAATATGAAACCCACTGCAGACACAAGTTTAAATCTCCAAAAATATCTTCCTTGAAAATTAAAATAATTTCCTGTAAAAAATGGTAGACCATTTCAGAGGAAGTTCCGAAAATAACAAAAACAGTTTTCAACTGGCAACAGAGAATAATTTCGAACAAAACGAGACCGTGGAAGAATTTCACGTTTTGTATTCGAGAAGCAATTCGCAGACTGAAATCGTGAAAGAAAGGTCTCGACATAACGCGAGGTCTCTAAAATATTCATACGAGCGACGCTTATATCCTCTTCACTTTCCGACCACATGTGCACACTTATACACGGATCATTAGAACGAACGTGCAACCATTCGCATTCTTCATCATCCCCGATATCATCATTGTCCGAACGATCCGTTAGGGCGAAATGAAAGGAACAAAAAAAAAAACAGGTCGAAAGAAAAACCTGGGGGGAAATCGAGGGAAAAAAGGCGAGGATTTTTCGATGAAGCTGTGATGTCATCGCGATTTTCTCACAACAAAAGGGGAAACATCGAGGTCGATCCATTAAACGCTCGTTTGCGGCCATGGTTTCCGGGTTGTAGATCGCTATTCCGTGGAAACGCTAAATTGGAAGCGTGAAAAATCGAATTCGCGTCGGGTACCGGACAGCTACGAAAAATAAGACAGATAAACGATCGGAGCGTAACTTATCTGTGATGATACCGCTGCAATATGGCTCGAAAAAGCTTAATATCGACGCGATATCGAATCGCTGCCTTATGTCGCTTTTATAGAAAAAACGTGCCAGTATATTTTATAAAACTGATCGGCCTTCTACTCTTGCATTTAGAAGAAAAATTTCATCGAATTTTTTATTTATTTATTTTTAAAATATTAATTGTATTTTGTTTCAAAAATTCTGCTCATAATAAAATTCTTAAGTCATTTGTGAAATTACTTAATAACAGAACAATTTCTTAAAGTAACGTAAGACCCTTACTAAATTAGCTAAATTTGAAATGTTTTTTGAAACATTCTTTAAAGACATTTTATTTACTAATGAAAAATTATATATTTTCTAAATTAGAAGCTACAATATATTTTAATATAATTAGCAACTTCAATTGAATTAGAAACTTCATATACTTCAATATATTAAGAAGCTTCATATACTTCAATATATTTAGAAGCTTCATATACTTCAATATATTTAGAAGCTTCATATACTTCAATATATTTAGAAGCTTCATATACTTCAATATATTTAGAAGCTTCATATACTTCAATATATTTAGAAGCTTCATATACTTCAATATATTTAGAAGCTTCATATACTTCAATATATTTAGAAGCTTCATATACTTCAATATATTTAGAAGCTTCATATACTTCAATATATTTAGAAGCTTCATATACTTCAATATATTTAGAAGCTTCATATACTTCAATATATTTAGAAGCTTCATATACTTCAATATATTTAGAAGCTTCATATACTTCAATATATTTAGAAGCTTCATATACTTCAATATATTTAGAAGCTTCATATACTTCAATATATTTAGAAGCTTCATATACTTCAATATATTTAGAAGCTTCATATACTTCAATATATTTAGAAACTTCATATACTTCAATATAATTCATATGAACTAAAAACAGCTGAGTATATGAACTACTTTGAACTACTACTGGAGACATATAATCTTAGACATCTATTTTAAAATAGACTGTAACAGTAACACATTTCTACGATAAATTTATATACTTCAATTGCATAATAATTTTCATTCATTTCGAAAGAATTTCAAGGAACAGTGACATATCTAATCAGTTATCAGATATCAGTTTGATGTAAACGAAATCGTAAATAGCGACACAGTGTCATCCATGTTTATAAAAGTGTCTGATTTTCAAGCACGATTTCCTCGATGACTAAAGTACAATATTTGTGAACCATTAGTACATGAATTGTCGTTAATATTCCATTAGTGCACCATTAGTACTCCATTAGTAGTGAATTATTTATTAGAACACCGAAATCAGAAAAATAGTACATTTACTCTTAACATTCAATAATTCAAGTACGCGTTGAAGTGTCAGATGGCACGAATATGCTCTCAGTGCTAAAAAAACTAAAGGGTTCGCCCTAGAAGGTCCCAAAAGAGCCCTGACAAAAGGAAGCACAATCGCACCAGCCTTTTTCTCTCGACCTAGCTCGAAAGGCAGGTGGCTGGTGCAGACTGCCTAAGTAGGTCCTCCGCATTCTTAACCCGTTCGTATACATTCTTCGTCGAAAATCGAATATTTGCTGATCCAACCGAAACTATCCACAGTTTCCATCCTAAACTCAACAAATTTCCTTCTGAACAGAAATCTCTTCAAAAATCTTCCGTCACATTTTTCAGAAAATATGGATACCTCGAATTTTAATCCTCTAACCCAAATTACAAAATTTCCTCCCGCTATTGTAGTTAATTTTTAATATGCACTAAATACTACAGAGTGCAAGATAAAATTTATGCGAAATTTTCAGCGATAAAATTCTGAAAATTTTGCAACAAGGCCACCGTTTGAGCGTTAAATGTTCCCTGAAAAATTCGCAAAATGTGCGTGTGGTCACGCGTTATCGAACGACGAGGATTCTCGCTCGAGTTGTCAATTAACAAAGCAAAACTTACTTGCACAAGCTCATCCGACAGACACTACGGTTGGCTTACCTGCATTTCACGCAGAATTAAGTTAATTGATTGCTGTGCAACCTCTAATAATGCTTCCGCGTGCAGTGTTAAATATTTATAAACTGGCTGACGTAACGGGACTAGGGTGGCAGGGTTAGCCATAGAATATCGTTTAAACTTTGGGCCTTTGGAACTCCTTTTAATTACCTACTTTCATCCCTGGTTTTTGGGTTACGTAAATAGCACTCATTACAACTTTTTGTAATTTCGATAATTTATTCAGAATTTTGTTTCTTCAAATATTTAATTTATTTATTTTAGTCATACCTTACACTTTTGAATCAATTATCATATTGATAATAGTATAATAATCAATTATCAATTATATAGAATATAAATTATTTTAAAAACTTCTAATTTTATATTTACTTTTAGTGAAAAATTTTAATTGAGGATAATTTATTTAATCCTTTAATCAATACCTTGCTATGTAATATTGTCAAATGAAGCTTATATTACATAGTATATTGTGGCACTTTATCACTGAATTATAATAAACTATTTCAGAACTGGCCACTAAGTTACTTTATCATATCACAAACACCTACATTATCTTTGAAATATTAATCCAATGTTTTCCATAAGTCTGACGTTATTAATTTTCGAGACACACCTGCACTTTACATATTTCACCTCGACTGTTAACTCCAGATCATAATACCAGCTTTGTCCACATTTTATACTGACAGAACATTACCACATTATACTTCATTATCATCAACCTGCATTGGCAACCTGAACCATATTAATAACATACCACGACATTCGATACGTTCAACACTTTCAAGGCCTCCAACCTCGTGAAAATCGAAAGATTTCAAACACATTAGCATACGAATTATACGAAATCGGAACGTGTCATTTATTTAGCTAAAAATATTGATTACACGAATCGGTCTAGAATCATATACCAAACTTATTGAAGAATTAACAGTGATTGAACGTTTGGATAATGAGAGAAATCGCTCAATTAGCGATGAAGTTCTCAAATAAATAACTTAAGTACGAGTGTAACACAATTTCTGTTGAAGGGACTTAGGGCCTCGTACCAGTCCCGGTGATCGCTCGTCCTTAATTAAGGTGGATCCAGAGCCGGCGAGCAAAAAATAAAAAGCTTGTGTTCACTCGCCAAGCAATTTCTGCCGAACTAACGGGACCCACGAATTCGTCGAAGGAATCGCGAATTTCGATCGCTTCCTCAACCTGATTTACGACAGCTCCCTTGCAGCATCTTCCAGCTTGGTTAGCGAAAATAGATCGATTCTAATTCGGACGAATTATGTTCAAAAGTACATTTAGAAGACTTATAACAAAAGTAGAATTCAGTATCAGGTAAGTTATATTTAGTTTTTGAAAAAATTTGCTTTAAAAAGTATTTAACTATAAATACTTCCATATACTCACATGAGCATGCACGATATTTATGTTTTGAAATAGCCACTATCATTTATGTTATCATGCTTGATAACGACCAGAGAAGATAAATAAAAAAATCAGATATCACTGCGCCCTACATTTAAAAATTTTCAAAAACCCAACCATCACAAAATCTACCGATCCACTCGAATCGAAAACACTTCAGATATCTCAGAAAGTCACGGTTATCCGAAAGCTTTAATGAGCATCCTGAAGGAACCTCAGAAGGCACTAAACACACAAGGTTCCTACCTGAATGTATCCCAGCGTCCGCATCAGCATCCTCGAACACGGACGACTCGGTTCCTTCGTCGTTATCGACGACAGAATCCTCCGGGGTCTCTTCCTCTCTCGATTTCTCGTTCGTCGAGCGATGGTCGTTCCTGGCGGGCGTCGCGACGCCACTCGGGCTGTCGACCGAGGCGTGTCTTCCAGTCGGCTTCACCAGAGTGCTGGTACTCCTCGCTAACTTGGTGCTATGAGTTCTTCGTATCAACAAGTTCGTGAACGTGGTGCTACCATTTTGTTTGCTCCTGGTTTCCGTCGAGCTAATTCTGGCGTTAGAGGTCGATTTGGAGTCCAAATTCTTGGTTGTGCGCTTGTTGTCGGTTTTCTTCTTGGAGTCCTCGTCTTCTACCTCGAAGCACGCTATGGTGTTGTTCAAGCGACTATCCTTTCGATTAGCGTCCTTCTTGCCGGTGAATCGGCTCTGGAACCTCTCGATGGTCTTGAACGACCTGGTCCTCTCGACCTTCTTCCTCTGGTCGGGCCCGTTCGACTGCTCGCTCTTCGGGGTCTCGAAGATCTTCGTCAGGGACTGTACCTTGCCTCTCGGCTCGGGGAACGTCTCGTCCATCCTCTTCGGAGTCGACAGTGCTTCATTGTTGCTGAGCGTGCGAGTCAGCACCACGTTCGGCGTCTTGGTGCTGATGGGGAAGGTGTTGCTGACGAACTTGTCCGACTCGATCGTCTTCGGGATTTTCGACGGTTGACGCGACTCGCCGTCCAGAGACACGTAGAACGTCGACCTGCGTTTAGGCGACTCCTCGAGATGCTCCGCGTTCAACATGTCTCGGGCTGTGACACGCTCGCATCGCACGATTTCACGCTCTCATCCCTTTCGCCCGTCGATCCATCCGTTACCTAACTTAGTGGAATGTCGCGGACAGAATGTATCGTTCAGGTCGAGTTTCCCCGAACGCACTGTACGTTCCTCGGCATCGGAGTTCCCTGAAATTCACCTTAACCGGGCGGGCGAGATTTCGAGGGACCTGGGTGCAACGCCTGGCGAAATTCTCGCTCAGTTCCTCTAAATATAGCCCCGTATCGTGCGGTTACCAGAAGCACGTGTATCGACAGAAGCGAGTGCGGCGATCATCGGTGTACAACCGACACTGTAGATAGTGGGAGGCGTTGAACCGTGAACCCCGTTGCTTCTGATGTTTTCGTCCGGCTATCGGTGACCTCTATAAAACGCTTTCGCGGAATCCACCCACGAATCACAATACGGTGCACCTGTTAATGCACCGACCTCTTGTATGACAACGGACACAATCGATCGCACAAGGGTGGCCACGAAGCAACGTTGCTGAGAATGCGACTATCTCAGGTATGCAGGACTCACTGATCAGCACTCGAAGCAGCTGCGTTTCGTCGCCAGCGTTGACGAGGACCCCGACTGGTCGAGCAAACACGAGGAAAAGTAAAAGGGTCTGAGTCACAAAGATGGGATCGGGTTCTCGCGAGCTGAGACGTAGATGTTCTCACGTTCTTTCGAGTACGCGGACGAAACTATTGCATCGGATACTAACATCTCGAGGGACTAGTACGATCTGGAGTGATTTTATGCTTCGTTTCGCGAGCGACACGCGCGGACACAGATGGCACACGAGTTGGAGCCGTTCCACGATCGTCCGCACCGCACACGGCTTCACGACTATCTGCCTCCAGACTCTACCGAACCTGACCTACAGCGCCCCTGGTGGCTGCTTCGAGAAATATTCCGGACTACTTGTCGCCGTAGACTGTACGGCAATCGGAGATCGAATGGTAGGCATCGTAGATGCATCTGCTTCTGCGACATTACTTTCTCTACTTATAATAACACTTGAAGGGTTCGCAACGCTCTTAACGCAAGTTAATATGAATATGAGACAGAAAAATTTATCAAACTTGAAAGGTTTTGATGTTAGGTTTATAATTTACACTTAATTTTTGCTGTTAGCAGATAGAAACTTTTAAATGTTCTAGTTGAAAAGTTTGATAAATTCTTTCTTCATGAGTTATCATTATTTCATTATGTTTATACACCATATATGGTACATACATTTCATTCAAAAATATTTACTTCAAATCAAATCAATGATGAGTCTTTTAAGGGTAAAATGTTAAGTATAGAATGAAATATAAAGTTCGTAATTTTAGAGATCATATTTGTGATTAGATTACAGGACTGCACCTGTTTAAATACACAAATATTTGCATCGAATAAAATATTGAATATAAAAGCGCAGCCTACTTCTAGTATCGTGCAGGTATTTATTGTCGTATCTTATCGGATACCTTTAAAATTCTTCGAAACTTTAATTAGTGCCTGAGAGGATTTTACTATTCGCATACTCCAAAGATTCCTCTCGTGTTTTACTATTATATTAACCCTTGGATAACCCGAGCGTTTGCTGACTCATGATTTAGAATTCGAACTTAGAAACATTCTTAAACATAATTTGTCTGAAGATATTAAAACTGATCAAAATGTAAGATATGAAAAATAAAAAAAATGCAATGAGTTAATTTATAATTTCCGTTTAGTAATAATTTCAAGAGAAATTCGAAAGCCTGTACAAAGTAAGAATTAAGACTATAACGGAAGTCCTAAATCAATGAAGTGTGCTTTGTGCCATAAATTCATGGAAAATCGTTGCACTCCCGATTACGTTAACCAGGACACTTTAAAAAAGATAAAAGACAGAATAATTGGCTGTTTACAAGCACTCTTCGTTGATTCGGACTTAAGATCACAATCGATAATCATTTCCTGCAACGGAGAAATGCACTCGAAAGCAGAGCAAACCAATCATTTTGCTGCTACCATGATTTTCGTCCCGTTGGTTTCATCTCATGAAACTGTAACGCTTTTACCAAATCGTACATACAACGAGGTCAATCATTTTCGTGAACCAGTTCCACCAACAATCGTAAGAATTCTGATAGACTTTCTCCTGCAAACGTTTCTCGTATTTCGTTAGAAATATCTTGCTTATATATTATGATATTTTACTTGTATATTTTATGAGATAGGGGAGGGACTTTTATGGCCGTTCAATTTGTCTGCAGAAATTTATATAACATTTCATCGATATTTACTGCTCTTGTGTTTGGTCATTTTTTTATTAAATTCGATCTTTTTAAATTTACAATAAATATTAGTTTGAGTACAATGAATATTGATTTGGAGATTTTTTGGAGAATTTTGGAGGGTTGTTAAAATTGTCTAAATTTTGATAAAATTTTATATTTTGTTAAGATAAATAATGACTGTTTGATGACTTCATTCTGATGACTTAGTATTTATTTATTTTTTCACCTAATCTTCAGTTCAGATCTTCAGTTACGTCCAGCTAAATATCAAATCCAGTTTGACGATTAAAACTCCACATCCCATTTCTTACACACGAAAGTTTCTATTTTCCCAGTAACAGTTCCAATCCTATTACGTGTTCCGCTAACACGGTAGCCAAGTAACAGCGGAAAAAAGATCCGGAGAAAAATGGTCTGGCAAATCGTGCATGACTCAGCGTGGCTGGAAGAAAGGAATCAGTTTCTGAAATTCTTTCCCGTTGCAACATCGACATGCGTACGCGTTAATCGCGTATCCGGTGCTGCGTAAAGCACGATAAATTATGCAAGCTAAAACTGAGAATTGCAATGGCGCGTGTACCGTTGGAATTTCAGCGATGACAGTGGGTGCTGTTCAGGTAGCGAGCCTTGAAATATTATTCAAATTTCATTAACGACCCTGGCTGCCTGTTTGCTTCTGCGATTCTGGATTTCAATTCGATCGACGAGTTTTTACGTTTTATCTTTTCTAAGTACTTTATGATTTTCTTGATTAATATTTACTGCTGGGATGATGAAGACAAGGTGTATTGAAAAGTTAGGTTTGGTATTCAAGGATTGTTAAGATTATGATTAGAATTGAAAAGTTGTAACATTTGATTGGGATGAAAATATGAGTTAGGTCACATATGAACATGTCATGAGTGACATGTAGAAGATGGAGTTAATCGTTTCAATTTAAATATTTCTCTTGGACAATTATATTATAATTATATTATATAGATTTACTATGACAAAAATATGTTTCGACGACAAAAATCTTAGGCATTTCCATGTGACACTCCTAATTTTTCATGAAAGATGAGTGGTTTAAAAATTTCTTATAATGGTTTGATTTACTGGGAAATTTACTGTGAGAGACAAAGAACGATAAGCAGACAGTTGTCTGACTCCAATTTAATGGAGTTACCCTAAACAGCTTGTCTGACTCAAAATCCTCCGAGTTTTGTTTTGTAAATTTCTAACTGAACCCTAAATTTTTCATTAGGAGTTACGATCAATTTGATGTCGTACGATCACTATGTCCACGCATGTCGTTACAATTGGATGGAATCGATATTAATGTTCAATTGGATGCTTGATTATCCTTGATGGCGTTGGCTATATTGAAAGATGCTATTGAAACTTTTTAATCATCGTTGATGGTGCTGCTGCATGACAAGTTTGGGACATAATTTTGGGACTTGTGCTATTATTTACTGTGCTATTATTTGTTATATTGTGAGTTATTTACTGCTGATCTCCTATACGGTTCAACATTAAAACCAATGTGAAATGCTTTTAGACTGAAAATGAAGAGGAAAAAATAAATAAATATTCTGTATACTGTATAAGCTTGCAGAAGTATATACTAAATCATGAACTATTACATAGAATCATTATTTGTCTTAAAAAAAAATGTCTGAAATTCGGACCAAAACATGGCAACAAATATTGTAACATCAGATGTGAAACCTTGTAAAATGTGAATGAGTCATATGATTGGAAGTTCCACTGTTGTATAACTCGGTTCATTAATGCAATTTAATATTTCATTACTAAAAAATACCAGAAATATTCTTCCACAAACATACGACGAAAGGTCAAAGTTACCGCATTTTTAAAATACTACAAATCTTCCTTTGTAATAATACATTTTTGTAACATATTTCACCTGTAACTGACAGATGTAACATATTTCACCTGTCTTTCATCCACGACGTAATACATCATCATACCGTAATAAAGTAATATATCACCAACACAAAAATTTAATAATCAAACATAGTTTCTGTATATTGCGACAGTCTCTGAATTCCATCGCCCACAATAAGTGTCATCCGTTCCGCAAATCTCCATGGACGTATCATTTAAATTTCAATTTTACCGAGACATTACTCAAGCTCAGATTATCCCGCAAACTTCAATTAGGTTACTAGAACGGGCATTCCATTACCACGTAACATCGTCGATTGACCATCGATCCTTGATCACCGTATTCCACAACATTTGAATTTCATCGCGAACAGGAGTCATCCGAGGGTGCTATTTAAATTTCAATTTTGCCCGGTGGGCGATGTTCGATCCTACATCTGGTCGATGGGTGTCGTTTAAATAACAATTTCGTTGGTGGGTGGCCCCTCGTCATCCATAATCATCCGACTTAATTTCTGCGTGGAGCACGAAGTAATTTGCTGCGTTTTTATCGAATTTGCACTTGGCTGGCACGAAAAATTTACATTTTTTGTTTTTGGTCATTTTTCAGTATTTCATTTCTTAGTTTTAAATATTTGTTCATTAACAAATTTGTTCATTTTTCAGTTTTGAATATTTCATTAGGGAGTTTGGGTGTTTGGGGATTCAAAAATTGTCAATGTGGTGAACTCAGAAATTTGCTTATTTGGGATAGTGAGAATTTAGAAATTTGTACTAGAAGCATTTGAATTGATAAATTCAGAAATTTGTTTTAATAGAATTTTGGAAATTTAGAAATTTTCTTTTTAGGAATTTTAAATGTACAAATTAACAAATTGATAATTTGATAATTTTGATAATCTCGATAATGTGATAATTTCTGATAATCTTGATAATCTAATAATTTTTAATAATCTTGTTAATTTGATAATTATTTATAATGTTGATAATTTGATCATTTCTGATAATCTTGATAATTTGATGATTTTCTATAATGTTGATAATTTGATCATTTCTGATAATCTTGATAATTTGATCATTTTTTATAATCTCCATAATTTGATCATTTTTAATGATCTTGATAATTTGATGATTTTTTATAATCTTCATAATTTGATAAATTTTTATAATCTTCATAATTTAATAATTTTTAATGATCTTGATAATTTGATGATTTTTTATAATCTTAATAATTTAATACTTCATACACTTGGATTGTTGCAGACTGAAATTTTTCAGCCAAAAAATGTTACTCATTTCCAAATTCTCAAATTCCAAAATATTTAATCAAATTTATAAGTGCAAAACATTGACAAATTCATAATCTGATAATACAAAAATTAGGAAACTTCAAAATCGAAATGTTTAGTACTTCAATTTATAAATTTCAAATTATCAAATGTTCATATCAAGAAGCTGAAGTGCAAACATTTTTTATAGATGTTTGTTTTTTTCATACATCAGTTAGTTTTGTTATAAGTTATAAATCAGTTAGTCTCGATATAGATCAACAATAAAAATGAATACCAAGAACAAATGCATATATTCATAAAACAATTTTTCGTATAACAAATAAAAATTCCATAACGTAAAATACAAAACCTAGTAAAGTATGAAAATTATATCGTTCAGCATAAGTGAAGCGATAACGAGTGAGACGAATTGGAATGAATTAATTTCAGCAGCAAATGAATTGCAACGATCATTGAA